ATAGATGAAGAGCAAAAGGCCCTGGAGCATGCTTTGTTAGTTAGGCTGTTAGAGGGCATGGAGGCTGGTATGGGATAAGCCAGAAGGACATGGCAGGCAGGAAGTTTAAAGACCTCTGGAACCACAACATCGTCCTAGCAAGGTGGAACCTGCAGAGAACTTCCAGATGTTGTTGTTATGTGCCGTCATGTCAACTGCAATTCATAGAAACCCTAGAACAGTGGAACTGGACCCTGTCCCATATCCTGCACCATCCTCATAATTTCTGACACACTTGAGCCCATTGTTACAGTCACAGTATTAATCCATTCGAATGGCCCCTACTAAAATCACGCTCAAAGAAATTTCTGGCATGATCCAACCAAGGTAGGTGGCACCTTCTTATTCTCTTATCCTTTTAACTGCCCAGAATGATTCTTTAGGGTGTTTTTTTAAAATATTTTATAATTTTTGTGTGTGTGTATACCATCAAATCAGATCTAACTGGTACAGGAGGAGATTGCCCCTTCTTCTCCAGCAGAGCGTCTAGTGGATTCAAACCACGCACCTGTGGGATTGCAGTGCAGCTTCTTGCCACTAGGCCACCAGAGCTCCCCTCTTTAGTTTTCTTATCTGTAATAGGAAGAGCATTTGGCACATCAGTGTCACAGTGTTCAGCATCACATCAACCATTAAAATCACCCACCTTTGATTTAGTAGCATAACTTTCTACTTACCAGACCCACAGAACTCTCTCTATGTTGTTGTTGTTGTTAAGTGCTATGGAGTTGTAGATGAATCATAGCGACCCTATGAACAAAAGACCTGAACAATTGTATAACTTTCATCGTTTCTCCAATTTCATAGGGTTTCCGGAGGCAAGCTATTTTAATCTGCAGCCCTCAGGCCTGGTTTTAATTGCTTTTGGTAAAAAATTCTTCTAAGTGGTATAGCACTAGTCTGTCCATTTGCTATACAGAGGTAACTCATGGTTGCTGTGATGCTAAACACTGTGACACTGATGTGTCAAATGACCAAGCCGAAGGTGGGTGATTTTCATCTGGGGCCCTCGGCCGGGTTCAAATTGTTTTCCTGCCAAACACTCTTCTTGGTAGTATAGCACTGGTCTGTGCGTTGCTGTACAGAGGTAACTCATGTTGCTGTGATGCTGAACACTGTGACAGTGATGTGCCAGTCATGGTAATGGGTACCCATGGTGGACAGTGTTGGCTGGAGCTTCCCTACTAAAACAAGCCTGGAAGCAGGAGTGGCATCCATTTCCGAAAGGGCTTGCCTCCGGAAACTCTATGTACAAACAGTGCTCAGGCCATTCATTCATAGGGTCGCTATGAGTAGTCTACGACTCAAAGGCACCAAACAACAACAACAACAACATGATGGACAGTGTTTGGTGGAGCTCCCCGATTAAAACAAGCTTGGAAGCAGGAGTGGCATCCACTTCTGAAATAGCTTGCCTCCAGAAACCATATGAACTTGGAGAAATGATGAAAGTTATCTAATTGTTCAGGTCTTTTGTTCATAGGGTCGCTATGATTTGTCTACGACAATTGTCTACGGTACTTAACAACAACAATAGGAAGAGGTTAAAACACCTTTCTCACAAGGAGTTCAGGTGCTCTGGGTGATATTATTGCTGTTGTTAAGTGCCATCGAGTGGCATCGCTTACAGGAACCCCAAGAACAAAGGATCTGAACCCTGTTCTAACTTCCTGAGCCATTCTCACACAAGAGCCCATCAAGGCAGTCACTGTGTTAATCCAGCTGATCAAGGGTCTTCCCCTCCTTTGCTGACCCTCCACCCTTCCTAGCATCATGTTCTTCTCCAAGGAAAAGACCCTACCTATTGTTGATGAAAGGTCACCAATTTCTTTATGGAGACTAAAGTGCGCTTGATCCAGACCATTGTCTTTGCAATTACCTGCTATGCATCAGGAAGCTGGACAAAGATGAGGGATGATAGAAGGAGAATTAATATCTTTGACCTGTGGTACTGGAGAGGAGATTGAATATATCATGGACTGCTAGGAGAACAAAGAGGTTAATCCTAATCCTAGAGAGGGTGAGACCAAGCCGCTTCTTGGAGGAAAGAATTCTGAAGCTTTGTCTGATATACTTTGGACATGTTGCGAGGCAGGACCAGTCCTTGGAGAGGGACATCATTCTTATGAGGGTGGAGGACAATGTAAGAGAGGAAGACTCTTTATGAGATGGACTGATTCAGTGACTGGGGTAATGGGCATGGGTATGTCAGAGACAATAAGATTGGCACAGGATAGAGCAGGGTTTAGGGTGGTTGTACACAGGGTTATTATGAGTTGAGGGCGATTCGATGGTACATAACAACAACAATTGATGATGAAATCTCTTCATTCTTGCCTCTAAAGAGCATGCTAGCTGCACCCTGTCCAACACATATCTTCTTTGTTCTTTCAATGTCCATGGGATGTTCAGTGCTCTTATTCAACACCACAGCTCAAAGCCATGAATTCTTTTTTTGTCATCCTTATTTACTGTCCAGCTCTTGGATGCATATCAAGTGATCAGAAAGACCATGGCCTTGCACACCCATGTTTATCGCAGCTTTGTTCATAATAGCGAAGAGTTGGAAACAACCTATGTGCCCATCAACAAACAAATGAATAGAGAAGCTCTGGTATATTCACACAATGGAATACTATGCTGTATTGAAAAACAAAGAATTCATGAAATATTATACAAAATGGATGGCCCTTGAAGACATTATGCGGAGTGAAATATCTCAGTCACAAAAGGACAACTATTGCATAGTGCCATTGTTGTAAAATGGGACTGACATTGGGGTTGAGGAGAGGCTGAGAAAGATGGGATAAATAATGTATACTTCATTGAAACAGATGAGGGAAAGAACTGATTAAAAGCAATATATGATTAGGTATTATTGTCATGATGTGAGTCCAGAATGAAGGCTGCATAGTGGAGTGGACTTGAGGGGAGGGATTGTATAACAATGAAGAAGAATTTTTCTTTTACTTTTCTTTTTTTTTTAATTTTTGTTTGTGTGTACAGTCAAATCAGATCTGACTGGTACAGGAGGAGATTGTCCCTCCTTTTCTCGGCAGAGCATCTGGTGGATTCGAACCGTGTGCCTCTGGGATTGTAGTTGCAGCTCCTTGCCACTAGGCCACCAGAGCTCCCCTAAAATTTCTTTTACTTTTCAAAGAGAAGAGCGAACTGGGGAGGAGAAGGGTGGGCAGGGAGAAAAAAGCAACAATAAGTGAATGGAAATCCAAAGTCTCTGTAAACATTCATTAAAATTAATAATAAAAAAAAGGAAAGAAGACTATGGCCTGAATCAGATGCACCATATTCCTCAAACTGACATCATTACTGCTCAATAATTTGGAGAGGTTCCCTAACTGTAAATTTTCCCAGTGTAAGCCGATTGGTCTAGTTAACAATCAGGTTGGGAGACTCTTCTTTAAATCAGTTAGGACCTGGTGAGTGGGCCTTTGTATTAAAAAGTCAGTTGGGCCCACAGGCCTGTGGCCCTAGAGCCTGGCGTTAATTGTATTTGGGGAGAACATTGTTCTAAATGGTACAGCACTTGTCTGTCAGTTTGCTGTTTGCGCTAATGGGATTGTTTTGATACTGAAAGCTGTACCACTTGTATGCCAAATGCCATAAAGGTTACCCATGGTGGACAGAGGTTGGTATATCTCTCAGAATGAGATAGACTAGGAAACACAATTAGCATCCACTTCTGATACACTCCTTTCCTTATTTTGAACCATTCAGTGTGGAGAAGAGATTGAGATTGTTAGCAATTACAGGTTGCTTGGATACACAATTGACACTCTTTTTTATTTTATTATTTTATGCGTGTACTGCCAAACTGGATCTGACTGGTACAGGAGGAGATTGCCCCTCCTCCATCAGAGCATCTAGTGGATTCGAACCAAGTACCTGTGGGATTGCAGTTTAGCTTCTTGCCACTAGGCCACCAGAGCTCCCTACAATAAACACTCTTAACACCAGCAGACAGGAAATCAAAAGAGGATTTCATTGGGAAAATCTGCTGTCATGGTCCTCTCCAGAGGGCTGAAGAGCAACGATGTCAGTCTAGATACAAAGGTGTGCCTAATCCAGGCCATATTCTTCTCAATTACTTGTTATGCTTCAGAGAGTTGGACTAAGGATGACAGAAGAATAAATGGCTTCAAGTTGTGGTGCTGGAGAAGAGTCCTGAACATACCATGACCTGTCAAGAAAACAAATAGGTCTGTCTTGGAGATGGCGAAACCAACTATCTCCTTGGAGGCTAGGATTTTGAAGTTCTATCTCACTTTGGGCACATGGCCAGGAAAGATCAGTCCTTAGAAAAGGACATCATGCTGAGAAGGATGGACGGACAACGCAGAAGAGGGAGATCTCAGTTGAGACGGATTGATACAGGAACTGGGGCAATGAGGGTAGGTGTGTCGGAATTATTGAGAATGGCTCAGGGCAGGGAAGGGTTAAGAGGGGCTGTCCATCACTAACCATTGCAGGCAACTCAATGGCACATAACAATAACATACTATGACAGGTCTGGAAGCAGGAGCAATTCCTAAATAATATGCCTCTGGAAACTCTATGAACTTTGGTAAACGTCGGTAGTTGTAAAGGGGCTTCAGGCCTTTTGTTCATAGGGTCGCTATGAGTGGTGTTGGACTCAAAGGCAATCAACAACAACAAAATCCTGAAATACAATGTTGTGAGTGATAGGATAATATCCATACGCTCAAGGAATATTTGGGTAATAAACGACCGAGACAGGTCAGGCAGGATGCTCCGTCCCCATTGCACAGATAGGGAGACTGAGGCCGGGGAGCCATGCAGGGTGGGGTAGGGGGCAGCGAGCGGGGGCGTGGCGCTAGGGACGCGCACGCTGCGTCTCGTCCCGGGGGCGCGCACGTCGGCTAGCGGGCGGGGGCGGGGCCCGAAGCCGTGGCTGTGGCGGCGGCCGAGGGCGCGACAGTCGGTCCGGGAGCGGGTCGGAGGCGGCAGCGGAACCGCCATGGAGCAGCCCAAGAAGGCGGTGGTGGTGACGGGTACGCGGGTGGGTGGGCGCGCTGGGGCCGATCGCGGCGGCAGTGGCGGCGGCGGAGGGCAGGCGCCCGGCGGCGGCGGGAGGGCAGCCCGAGGTCCGGGCAGACTTGCTACAAGTCGTGCCGGCTTTGAAGGTGTCATCGTCGGCGGAGCCCCGTTCGTCCTGGCCACCGACAGAGTGGGGCCAGGGGCTGGGACAGCGGGAACCGGGTGGGGGCCCCAGGCAGATAGGCTCCTCTATCTCCCGGAGGGGGACAGTGACCCTCTGGGCACCTGCTTGGCCCTCTGGCTGTCCCGCGGGTTGGATTGTTGGGCTGGTTTCCAACCCGCTGCTCCTCCCGAAGTCGGCTTGTTCCCACCCTTGGCCTCAGGGGACAAAGGCCGAGTTGCGGGCAAGAAATGCCCAGGATGGCAAATGAACCTCCTTGGACTCCCTTCTCCCCTCGCCCTGCGCTTTTGGAGGCTGTCCTTTGAGCTAGGGGCAGGTGAGACACCTTGGGAGATGGTCTTGGGGACTCTCGGCCTCCAAGTCTCCCAGCTGCCCCAGCGATTGGCTTGGGTGTGTCCGAGTGTGGGGCAAACCCAATGCCGGTTGTCTCTGACTCCCCAAAGTAACTGTTCCTTCTCCAGTAGACTCCGCCTTGGGCCACGTGGCACCTCCGCTTCCGCCCCCTCTGAGGTGGGGGGTGTCACTTTAACCCACTGGGGGAGGGAGACAGGAGCAGGTTCTCAATCAGGATTGTTTTTTGTGGCTCATGAGGCCCAGGGAGGAGGCAGACTGGCCCTGCGATTGATTCCAGGCAAGATGAAGAAGCCACTCATTCACCTGTCCAACAGGTGTGTGTAGTCGTCTGGCAGGGAGTCTGTGACCTTTTTTGCCATTTTGCAGTGTCTGGGTTATGAATGAGCACTCACTACATGCCTCGTGCCTAGCTGACATTTTCTTTCCATGAACTGGTGAAATCTTCACCATCTCTGTTTCACAGAAGGGAAGCTGAGGCTCAGTAAAGGCCATGACACTTGCAAATGGTGCAGCCACACTTTAACTTGGCTTAGGCAAGAGGAAGGGGTTGGAGGGCTCTCCTAATTTAACCTCCTATCAGAATGAACAGCCTGGTACCCTGTCTGACAGCAAAGGGCATTGCATCA